AAACTGAGACATGGCAGGGAAGGGCCTCCAAGCATGGCTAGGGCCTCAGCAAGGGTTATGAGGAGGGAAGAGATGTCATATGTTTGGAAAACAAAGGCAGGGAGGAGGAGAGGAAGGACAGGCAGCTTCAGGCAGGAAGGAGGAGAGGCAGGACAGGCAGCTTCAGGCAGAAGAATGCCGCCGGGAAGCTCTAAGGGGGTGAAAACAATGACCCAGGGCCACTGGGTGTGGCATGCAAGCGGAAGAGATTCAGCATTTCCTCGTTCCCTCTCTAATCCATATTGAAAACTAGACACTGTGGGGAGCACTTTGATATATTAGCTCATTTACTCTTTGAAACATGCATGGCTGTGTCTACTTTAAAGATGAGGAAGCTGTACCCTTGGGAGCTCATCTGTGGTTTGCAGAAAGTGGTCGTCTCCTGAAGGACCAAAAGAAACAGGCAGCCGAGGCATCTCTGCCTTAGGGGTAGCAAACCTCCAGATACACCCCGCAAACCCTTGACTCCATAAAATGGTGCTGACGCTGTTGTAACTGCAGCTTCCAAACACACCTGGGTGGAACCGGGCAAAACAGGCCATCCTGGAACCCCCTCCATTTTCAGGAATTCCTCTCTCAGATGATTGGAGACAGCGGACCGAAGAACGGCCCACCTGGCAGCAGCCTCTGCGCATGGACAGCTGTCTCACGGCATCATGGCGTCCCCTCCCACAACAGGGTGAAAGACTAAGGAAGGCCCAGCTGCCCTCAGTCAGCTGCAGCTCTAACAGGACCCTGGAAATCTTTGAGAAGTCTCACTTCAAGAGAAGTCAATCGGGCCACTTACATCTTTCTACTCACACATCCGAGCCAGCTGGAACCCCCTGGCCTTTGCACAGAGAAGAGCCCCCTTCAAAGGAACCAAAGTTGTATGACCAAGGAAGGCCATCCAGAGTTTTGGCACCTTGCAATTCCATGGGTTCCCAGGAAGGGAAGCCACGATTGAACCACATCCAAGGAAGTGGCCTCTCCAGAGTTTCCTCGCTGGTGCACGGCCCTGGCTCTCGGTGACGCAGGCAAGGAACCTGGCCAGGGCATGGTGATGAAATCACTCAGAGCAGCCTCCCAGTTACCCCCAGATCCTCCAAGGGCTGCCAACACCCAAAGACTTCATCCCTGGGGAAACAACAGTCCCACCCTCCTCTCCTCTACCCCAGTTCTTCTGCAATGAGTCACCAATGCATCACAGAGAGGCACTTAGACTGCACCTGCTCACCTGGTGTAAGAAGTATTGTGGTGCATACACTATCCCAGAAGTGCCTGTCCTGGGCTCCTCAGGGCCTTGGAGTTCTCAGCCTTCCACAGGAGGGTGTCTGGGGGCCGAGGGCAAAGGGAGACCGGGAGGACTCGGGCCCCCATTAGCTCCACTTTTGCTTGGTTTGCATATGAGAGTTCAGTAAAACATTTTTTATTTATTTTTTTTTTTAAAGAGGTTCCTGTTGACTTAACAAGTTTGAAAAGCACGATTCCAGACAAGTAGGCAAATTGGCACACAGTTTGGTTACTGATTCCACTTGACACAGGTATACACACAGGGCTCCTTCCTTGGGAATACTTGATTCTTCTTGTGTGGTGACAGACCTCCCAGGGCCCTCCGGCATCTACCTCCCCAGTTCTGGCACTCAGAAACTGTTCCAAAACATCTCCCAAGGCACAAAGCTTTGGGTCTAACTCCAAAAGACTTTATTTCCCCAGTTCCTGAACCACCTGTACCAATAGGCACAGCCACCAGGCTCTTGTCTTATCCCTCACTCCAGCTTAAGCCCCTTCTTCAAAAAGCATTGTAAGCAGTCTGAGCACCTGGACACAGCCCAGCCCCAGGTCTCGGACCAAGCCATCAGCTCTAGAAGGGACTGTCAGGGAGAGGAGCAGTGAGGACACAAGGGGACAATCCCTAGTGGCAGACAGCCCCACTCACTCCTGCTCATCAGCAGGGGTGCAGCGGCTGAAGCCTGGCCACTCCCACTCTGCTCAGGAGCTTACTCCCTCACTCTGTCTTGGGGGAATGTTCAAAGCTACAGAGAAGCTGAAAGAGCCTTCAACTATATAACCATAGTACCATTATCACAAGAAAATTCACATTTATTCAATAATATTTAATGTATAGTTTATATGCAAAATTGTATTTATACAATTGTATCCCAGTGTATCTTTTATAGGCTTTTTTCTGGCCAAGATCTAATCCAGATTCACTCATTACACTTAATGTTAAGTCTCTTTAGTCTCTTATCTGCAACAGAGTCTCATCTTTTTTTAAAATAACACTAAATGGGCCGGGCGCGGTGGCTCAAGCCTGTAATCCCAGCACTTTGGGAGGCCGAGGCGGGTGGATCACGAGGTCAAGAGATCGAGACCATCCTGGTCAACATGGTGAAACCCCATTTCTACTAAAGATACAAAAAATTAGCTGGGCATGGTGGCGCGTGCCTGTAATCCCAGCTACTCAGGAGGCTGAGGCAGGAGAATTGCCTGAACCCAGGAGGCGGAGGTTGCAGTGAGCCAAGATTGCGCCATTGCACTCCAGCCTGGGCAACAAGAGCGAAACTCCGTCTCAAAAAAAAAATAAAAATAAAAATAACACTGAATGTATTGAGAAATTCAGGCCAATTGTTTTGTGGAAGGGTTCTGTTTCCTTATTAGATTCAGTTAAACGAGGCTGGCCTGACTATTACATGTGTGATGCTGTGCCGCTCTCAGCTGAATCACTCAGAAGTTATATATAACTTCAGAATAAGCCCCGCTTGCCCCGCCACTGGTGCAGTTAGGTCGCATCACTCTGTTGAAATGCTGGCTGCCTGCCTCTTCCACAGGGAAGGTACTGCCTCTTTAGAATCAGTAATTTGTTAGGGTGACACTTTGAGACCACGTGAATATCCTGCAATAATCTTTCCCAACTTATTTTTGCATCTATGGATGAATATACGTGGAGGTTACAAAACAGAGATTTTCTAAACTTATTAGCTAGTGTTTTGTTTTGTTTGTTTGTTTGTTTTTGAGACGGAGTTTCGCTCTTGTTACCCAGGCTGGAGTGCAATGGCACCATCTCGGCTCACCACAACCTCCGCCTTCTGGGTTCAGGCAATTCTCCTGCCTCAGCCTCCCGAGTAGCTGGGATTACAGGCACGCGCCACCGTGCCCAGCTGATTTTTGTATTTTTAGTAGAGACGGGGTTTCACCATGTTGACCAGGATGGTCTCGATCTCTGGACCTCGTGATCCACCCGCCTCGGCCTCCCAAAGTGCTGGGATTATAGGCATGAGCCACCGCGCCTGGCCTAGCTGGTGTTCTATAAAAAAGAACCTTCTATTTTTTATCCTCTCGTCTCACTCCTCCCCTTCTCCAAGTATCACTATAAACATAGGGATGTTTTCAATATTCAATGTGTCATAACGCATGACTATCATCATTCTTTCGGATGCCCCAGTTGTTCCCGTCTTGGCCAGTGAAAGCCCTTTAAACTGGCCGCTGGGTCCTTCACTAGGACTCCACTCGTCTCTGAGTGACGCTTTATTTTCCAGAGGTCCCAGATCCGCCCCATCTTTTCCCTGCTCCAACCCAGAGCCAGCTGTTTGTCTGAATCTTTTTTAGTGGAACTCATCTTTTTTTAGGCAGATCGGCAATTTCACACCTTCTCACCTTCCTCTGGGCCGAACTTCGCTTCCTTTCTCCCTACGTCCCTTCCCTTCATTCATCATTTGCATTAACACAGGCAGCTCTCTGTCCTTGGAGAAAGTGGGGAGGAGAAGACAAGGAGAGATAGAGACCCACAGTAAACGTAGGACATCATCTAACACTTGGCAGTCGATGAGCAGCTTTCTTTCTCATAGTTGACAACATTCGCGGTTAACTCCGAAGCAAAGCTTGTATTTCAAGAGGACATTGGGTCATGATTCCATTTGTGAAACTAATATCATACCATTTTATTTTATTTTATAATCCTATGGAATATGTACACAAGAAAAAGTACTGCCTGCTTCCTGGCACCCCATCCCCTTGTCTTACTTCGTCTCCATCAGCACTTACCACCCCCTCACCTTTATAAAATGTACTCAATTATTTCACTTACTTTCATTCTTGTCCCACTAGAACGGAAGTTCCACGGATGACAGATCGGATTACTACCCTGTTCACTGCTATAGTCCTTGCCTAGAGCAGTGCCTGGAATACAGTAGGCGCCCCGTCACTGCGAATGAGTGAAACTGGTTAGCCAGGACCACGGGCCTAGAGGTCAGAAGGGCCTCCTCCTTATCCTTCAAGCCTCCAACTTCACTCTCAGCTCCCAAGCAGTCGGTTATTCCCTTCTGTGTGTTCCCAGATTCCTTCTTACAAGGCTGGATCCTAACACCTAAAATATCACATCATCATCGTCTCACCCAGAAAACTGCAAATTCCTTCAAGGCAACTTATCTTCATGGACGTACTTATCTTCATGGCCTCAGCGGTTAGCAGAGGAGCTGGCATAAAAATGTTTGCTGAATGCCTCCTACCCCCAGCCACGAAAGTGAATGCCTCCTTTCCCCACGCCATGCTGCCTGCCAGGCTTTGGTCTCTCCTGCGGGAGCAGGGGCCCCAGCAGCCACTCCAAGCTGCTGAGAAAGGTTCCAACCCTGCCAACCGCTCACAATAGGCCCTTTGATGCAACTGGATTGGGCTGTTTCAGGAAGATCCACGTTCCCCGCCACAGCACCTGTCACTTAGGCCCGTGTCCCTGCAGCTTCAAAGCAACACAGAGCCACAGTGTTCACCAAGAAACAAGAGCAGGGCATGTCACTGGCAGAGCCAGCTAGGGAGAGCTCTCTGTCTTCTGGGGAGACGGGAGATGAGGTGGGAAGGTTGAGAGGGCCTTCTCCTAACAGAGGTGCTGACACTCAGCTTCTGGAAATGGCCTGGTTAGGGGATGGGAGAGTGTTAAGGGTACAAAGACCGGAACTTACCAGGGTTTTGCCTCAGAGATATCTTACCTGCTCTTTTCTCTCAATCTTTTTTTCACTCTGCTCAGGAGCTGGATTCTCAGGTGGTACAGTCAGCCGTAGTCTGCAAACATTTGCCTAGAAGAAAGGAAAAAGAGGCCAGTTAGAAGCCTTATCTTCACAGTCCCAGGCCAGCCTGGTACAGCACAGGCACCCACCACCCTGGGGCTCAAAGAAGGAAACTACCAAACAGCTTGATCAATTTCAAACATTTCTTTACCAGTGGCTCAGGGTCCATAACAATATGTATAGAAGGATCTCATTTCACAAGTCCAGGCAAAAATATAGCTAGTGGGACAGAAGCCAAAATATACACAGTGGATATCTCTATTTAAGTGGGAGGGTGCTTTCTACTTGCCCATGTATTTAGCTTTTCCCAATACACATGTACATGCTTAATCACAACTTTTTTTTTCAAAAAAGTCCATGTACTCATGTTCATAGCTGCATTATTCATAATAGCCAACAGGAAGCAACCCAAATGCCCACTGTCAGATGAATGGATAAACAAAATATGATTTAACATACAATGGAATACTACCCAATATTAAAAAGAAAGGAAATTCTGACACTCTACAGCATGGATAAACCTTGAGGACACTGTGCTAAGTGAAATAAGCCAGTGGCAAAAAACCCAAATACTGTAGGATTCTACTTAGATGAGGTACCAGGAGTAATAAAATCACAGAGACAGAAAGTGGACTATGGTTGCCAGGGGGTGAGCATACGGGGAAAGCTCGTATTTAACGGGCAGGAGATCCCCGTTCTGGAAGATGAAAAAGTCCTGGAGATGGATGGTGGTGCCAGCTGCACAACAGTGTGGATGCATTTAATGCCCCCGAACTACACACTTAAACAGGGGTAAAACGGCACATTTTATGGGTACGTTGCTGCAGTTTAAATGCAAAACAGAAAAGCTGTCCCTGTTTGCTGAATACAGACTAAAAGTAAGGCAGTTAGCTGGAAAGGCATACGATAAAAAAATACCGTGCTTGGCCGGGCGCGGTGGCTCACGCCTGTAATCCCAGCACTGTGGGAGGCCGAGGCGGGTGGATCACGAGGTCAAGAGATCGAGACCATCCTGGTCAACGTGGTGAAACCCCGTTTCTACTAAAAATACAAAAATTAGCTGGGCATGGTGGCGCGTGCCTGTAATCCCAGCTACTCAGGAGGCTGAGGCAGGAGAATTGCCTGAACCCAGGAGGCGGAGGTTGCGGTGAGCCGAGATCGCGCCATTGCACTCCAGCCTGGGTAACAAGAGCGAAACTCCGTCTCAAAAAAGAAAAACATGCTTATGAGTTAGTAAGACAGCTGACTCCTCAATTAGCTATACCACCGTGGATATTTTGTCACTAGCCATTGAGATTCTCGTGTCAGTTTATTAAAGGCTGCCAACAAACTTCACTGAAATATTGGAATATAGGTTCCTAAACGATTTTTTAAAGTCTAAATTGCACTTTTTTTTTTCTTGAGATGGAGTCTTGCCCAGGCTGGAGTGCGATGGCGCGATCTCGGCTCACTGCAACTTTGCCTCCCAGATTCAAGCACTTCTCCTGCCTCAGCCTCCCGAGGAGCTGGGATGACAGGCACGCGCCACCATGCCCGACTAATTTTTTATACCATTAGTAGCGATGGGGTTTCACCATGTTGGCCAGGCTGGTCTCAAACTCCTGACCTCATGATCCACCTGCCTCGGCCTCCCAAAGTCCTGGGACTACAGACATAAGCCACCGCACTCGGTCTGCACCATTTCTTTTCAAAATAAAAAAGCATCACACCATTCAGTGAGAGAAGCTGCAACTTGTATGGTTTATCATATTCTGTTATAAAGGGGACTACATGCAAGGTCATTCTCCTACCCAACAGAGCGAAAAACAGACCAGTGTGATCTGCAGTATGAGGGGTCAGTAACAGTAACAGCAGTAATAGCCAAGCACGTATTTAGCACTTGCTGTATGCCAGGCACCTTCTAAGTGTTTTACAGGTGTTTAATCCTCCCCACAACCTTATGGTAATACAGTCCCTAACCTGCTCCATTGTGCAGGTGAGGAAGCTCAGCCTCTGAAGGGTTACATGGCTGGGATATAGCAGAGCTCAGATTTGAAGCCAGGCAGTCTCCAGGGTGTGCATTCTTAGCTCTTATACTCACGGCCCTCACCACATGCCTGAAGTGCCACATGGGCTCAATTCACAGGAGTGCTGTTTGCTCCCTAGTATGGGTTGAACTGCATCCCCCTAAAAATCATCTGTTAGAGTCCTAACCCTGGCATCTCAGAATGTGACCTTATTTGGAGACAGGGTCTTTACAGAGGGGATCATAAGAGTGGCTCTAATCCAAAATGACTATTGTACTTATAAGAGTGGGAAAACTGGGGACAGACACACATACAGGGTGAATGTCATATGAACATTAAGATGACCCATCAACAGCCAAGGAGAAGGGCCTGGAACAGATAGTTCCTTCAGAGCCCTCAGAAGAAAGCAACCTTGCCAACACCTTCATTTTGGGCCGCTAACCTCCAGAACAGTGAGACAAGGGATTTCTACTAAGCCACTGGCATTGTGGTAGTTTTCACGGCAGCCCCAGAAAAAAAAACCTTTCCACCCCACCCCAGTCTGGTTGGTGGGGTCACAGATGTGCACTGGTTCACAGGTGGCTCTGAGGAACACTATCCTGCAGGCTGGAAGGCCAGGGCTATCTAGACAGGATTGTCAAAAACCTCTTGAGTTCAACCTGCCCACCTATGAAGGAACCCAACACCCAAAAATGCACCTGACAGGTGGGCACCAGCCTGTTCATTTTCCATGAACAGGTTAGGGAGCCCAGGTTTGGGAATGATATTAGCCACTTCCACATATATCACTGCCTCCTTCCAAGGCATTCCATTTTGCCACCAGGCACCTCTAACTTCCTGATCTGAGCTTACACCAGAATGTCTGCCTAATGGACCCAGGGTTGCCCTCGGGCTGCAAAAGAATCCCCCTTTCCCTAGACAGCTCCCCTGCCCCTTGAACCTCCTTTCTTCCGGATGAAGCAACTCCAGTTCTTTAAGTCACATGACTGTGTTTCAAAACCTCTCTCCATCATCATTCTCCTCTGGGCAAGCATCATCCCCCAAGGACCCCAGAATCAGATGTGGCCTGACCCCCAGGGCTATCACTGCCTCTTCTGCGGCCAATTTTGCAAGCAATGTTCACAGCTCACCTTCAGTCATGTCGGCCAAAAAGAAATCAAGCTGTTCTACCAGGTAGCCCTCTTTCCTGATAGGCAACAACACTGATGGAAATCTTGAGTCCCTCCAGAGAAAGGCAACCCTCTGGCTCCAGGCCCCTTAGGCTCATTGAAAGAAGTCTGACATTTGCACAAGCATCAAAGTGCAACTCAGACCGCATAGACAATTCAAACCTGTGGTGCTTGACAATCTCCTGTTAGGCTGGGTCTGGTCCATGCATAATTCTACAAGGGAAAGGAAGTGCTTTTCTCCTGCATCACATCTCACACACACACACACACACACACACGAGTGCACACACACATATATATATGCCTAGGCACACCCACACGCTACAACATCTAGCTGTGTGTCTATGGGAAAGTTAGTCTCACTGAATCTCAAGGGTAAAATGGGATAAAAGAAAAGTGTCGGCCGGGCGCAGTGGCTCAAGCCTGTAATCCCAGCACTTTGGGAGGCCGAGGCGGGTGGATCACACGGTCAAGAGATCGAGACCATCCTGGTCAACGTGGTGAAACCCCGTCTCTACTAAAAATACAAAAAATTAGCTGGGCATGGTGGCGCGTGCCTGTAATCCCAGCTACTCGGGAGGCTGAGGCAGGAGAATTGCCTGAACCCAGGAGGCAGAGGTTGCGGTGAGCCGAGATGGCGCCATTGCACTCCAGCCTGGGTAACAAGAGCGAAACTCCGTCTCAAAAAAAAAAAAAAAAAGAAAAGTGTCACATAGTAAGCCTCCATGAATATTAGCTATTTTATTTTATCATTTATTTATTTTGAGACCGGGTGTTGCTCTGTTGCCCAGGCTGGAGTATAGTGGTGCGATCACGGCACTGCAGTATCAGTCTCCTGGGCTCCAGTGATTCGCCAAGCTCAGTCCCCCAAGTAGCTGGAACCACAGGCACGCATCATCATGCCTGGCTAAGTTCTTTTATTTTTTTGTACACACAGTTTTACTATGCTGCCCATGTGGGTCTCAGAATCCTGGGCTCACGAGATCCTCCTGTCTCAGCCTCCAAATGTGTTGGGATTACAGGCATGAGCCACTGCACCCAGCCAGATATTTTTACTATTATCTATATATTATCATTATCCTTTGTGCTTCAAAATCAAATGGACCTGCTTAGCCTCACAGCCCTGTTTCCATGAAAATAACACTTTGGTCAATGAATCAGAGACATTAACACTGTAAGTGATGACTTTCGTTTGGCTGATTATTCTAGCGGGATAATCCTTAACAGTCATAATTTTCAGAAAGGGGGCCCTATGGGTCCAATCACTCAAAAGTGACTGTTCCCTCCCGTGGCTCAAGTCCATTCTTCATCTGCCCATGTAGAATTTTTATAACCCTCAACATGCTTCCTGTGATGAGCTGGGCACACCTTATACATGACGCTCTCACACTGAGCATACTTTATTACTCAGTTACTAAGCACCTACTACTTGTGAAATACTCTTTAGGGGCCATGAGGGTACCACAATGACAAAGAAACAGCTGGGCCACCCAGGAGTGCATAATCTAGAAAAACTCCCAAACGAGGCAACCAAGAACACTTGGAATAACTAACACAAGGTGTAGAGAGCCAGAATAGCTTTGTGGTTAAAGCGTGGTGGAAACGCACTTCCTGGCTTCTGGTATTGGTTCTGACAACTACCAGCTTTGGGACCTTTGGAGAGCCACTTAGCCTTCAGTGCTTCCGTTACCTGGCTCTGTTAGCTCTGTTGTAAAGCTATGTTTTTAAATTAATGTAAAGCAGAGCTAACAATACGGTACCCTCTTGGGAATGTTGTGAGGATTAAATTAGCTAATGTGTGTAAAGAGCTTAGGACAGTTTCCGGCACACATTA